GCAATTCCCTGTACTTCCGGACGGAAGCGGGAGAGCAGGCAGCGTCAATGTCGGCTGGTCGAGGGAGGAGAAGGTCGGCGAAGATCCGGCCTTTCCGTCCACCATGGTGCAACTCGAATGGAGTCACGCCGATCGCCGGATGCACCGAAGTGTTGTAGGCGAACTCGATGTCGGGGAGGCGGTCAACCCAATCTTTCTGGTCCGGACGGATGAGCGTACGAAGCATCATTTAAGCGGTTTGATGTGCCCGCTCCGTCTGCTCGTCTGTCTGTGGATGCCGAGCCGAACTTTGTTTCATCGTCGTGCCGGACTCCTGCATGAGCGCAGTCCAAAATGCTGACATGAAACGAGTGTGGCGGATGCTGACTATGTCTTCTGGTACACCGTGGCCACAAATCCAACCAGTGTGCAAGAGGCATGCCAGCTCGGGAGCTATGGAGTAGTACTTGCAAGGGAGAAAACGTGTGTACTTACTCAATCGGTCCACAACCGTGAGGATGCCGTCGTGGCCGAGCCGGTCGCGGGGAAACGGACCGGTGACGTCCATGGCAATGGAGAGACCAGCTTCCCGTGGGGTAGGCATCGGGCGTAACTCGCCGTAGGGATTGCGGTTGCGGGGCTTGCTGCGTCGGCAAACTTCGCAAGAGTCGCAATACCGAGTGACCTCGGTAATGAGATCGAGCCATCGAAATCGCTGTCAAAGTCGTGCAATAGTGCGGTTGACTCCGAAATGGCCGGCGAGTCGCGAATCATGATACTCGCCGAGGAGGCGAGTCCGAAGACGGCGGTCGCGTGGGACACATAGTAAGTCCTTGGCTCTCGAGTGGAGGAGCAAGTACCCGTCGGCAATGCGGTAGTGGCTGGCCGGCGGGTGATCCGAAGATAGCTGTGCATACAGCGTGGCGAAGTCCGGATCAGACTTGTATGCCCGGATGAAATGTCGCTGAAGCTCCTCGTCGAATGCGAAGGCATGATGTGTCATAGCGCAAAGATCAGGTCTTCGCGAGAGTGCATCTGCTGCGCGATTTGAGAGGCCGGGAAGATGTTTCGGTGTGAAGTCAAACTGGTCGATGAAGTACATCCATCGTCCGATCGTGCTGCTCACCGTATCCTGCGTCTTGTAGTAGGTCAATGGATTGTTGTCCGTAACCCATGTGAACCTACGACGCCCAAGGAGGAAGTGCCGACATCGTTTGAGAGCAATGACGAATGCGAGTAGCTCCTTCTTCCTTGCATCATCAAGGGAGTTGATGGGAGGCTTTTTGTGGCTGAAATACTCCACAGGGTACCAGTCGTCGCCGTTGTGCTGTTCCAAGACTGCCCCAATGCCATAGCCGGAAGCGTCCATAGTCACTCTCGTCGGCAAGGTGGGGTCATAGATGCTAAGGACGGGTGCCATAAGCATATCCGTCTTAAGTGCTTGGAATGACCGGCGAGCGTCGTCATCGAATACGAATGGCACCTTTGGCGACTGTAACCTCGTCATAGGTGCAGCAATCCTGGAGTATCCAGTGATGAATCGCTGATAGTAGCCCGCCAATCCCATGAATGAACGAACGTCCGTGGTGTTGGTGGCTCGGGCCATACTCGTAGGGCCTCGATCTTGTCCACGAGCGGACGGATGCCTTGCGGCGTCACATAATGGCCCAAGTACTCCAGCTCCTGCCGCGCGAATTCACACTTATCTCGGTTGGCCTTGTACTTGACTTGTCGTAGCCGCTCCAAAACGGTGCGCAGGTGTTCCACATGCTCCTCCAAACTCCAGTTGTACACCAGGATGTCGTCGAGGTAGATAAGTACGTATCGATCCAGCATGTGTCGGAACTCCGTTGTCATTAGGTGCTTGGAAAGTGGCCGGGGCATTCGTAAGGCCAAATGGCATAACCAGCCATTCGAAATGCCCATATCACGTCTTAAACACGGTCTTGTAGCGATCCTCCAGCCGGATCTCGAGTTGGTGATATCCTTACTTGAGATCAAGCTTGGAGAAGAACTTGGCGCCGCCCAGTCGCTCGAGAAGATCGTCGATGCGTGGGAGAGGGCCGACGTTTCTGATCGTCTGCGCGTTGAGCTTGCGATAATCGATGCACAACCGCAAATCCTTATTCTTCTTCCGGATGAAGAGAACAGGAGCACCGTATGGCGATGAGCTAGGCCGAATCCAGCCTTTCTCCAGAAGGTCGTCGAGTTGTGCCCGAAGCACACTTAACTCTTCCTCGCTCATTCAGTAGATGCAACCGCGCGGAGGTACGGCCCCTTCCTCGAGGATGATCTCGTGGCGGATGGGTCGATCCGGTACTACTCCGTGCGGGCCTTCGAACACGTCGCTGTAGGCGTCGAGAAGCTCGGTGATGCGTGGATCCGAAGTTGAGTCCGTCGATGAAGCGTCATGKGGCGGGAGGGCGTGGAGAAAACACACCTCCATCTCCTCGATGTTATCTTTGATGATGGAAACTCGCATGCTTGCGGCGGATACCACGTGGCAGCTGATCAAAGGATGAGGAAGAGGCACCGTGCATGGAACTAGTACTCCGTTCTGATCACGAATGTGAACGGTGCGGCGGAAGAAGTTCACCGGGTGATCCTCGCTTCGCAGCCATGACATGCCCAAGATCATGTCAAATTTGGTGTCCAGAATGTCAAAGGACACCGCCTCACTTGCGTGAGGGGCAAAGTACACTGGGACGTTGTCAATGCACCGGTCGATTGACTTGTGCGTGTGACCGTCCGCCAATGTGACTTGCGTAGGCTGGGACTTCCTCCGGACGCGTGGGCCAAGGCCGACGCGCACCATGAAGTCCTGGCTGATGTAGTTGCGAGATGCTCCGCAATCGATCAAGGCGTTGCAGGTCGCCTCTCCGATCTGAATGCGTACATATAGCTATGGTGCGTCGATGTCGTCGTACCGTTGCGTCTTGAACTCGCAGTCGATCTTCGCAATGTAAGCGTGAAGGTCGACAACCTCTACTCCGGCGTCCATCAACGGAGCTGGTACTGCAGTGTGCAAGTAGTCCCGCAATTGTGCCATAAGCACGTTGCAATGCGGTTTCGGCAATCGTCCGGTCGAGGGAACGGGCATCCACTGGAAGTCTGTGAATGTCAGTGGGTCGAGCACCTCAAGTCTTGACCACGACGATGAATCCCTGACGATAGATGGCGGCGAAGCTGCCGAATCGGTTGCCGATGGTGATGAAACCGTGCATGCAGTAATTTGTTGCACGTGGAGCGGTTGGTCCAGCGGTGGAACCAAGTGGACAGCATAGTCCTCGTAAGTGTAACGAGAACCTGCGACATTCGCATCCTCCCCAGATGTGTAGGAGGCCGCTAGCAAGGCGGCCGAATCTGGCGGAGTGGAAGGTGGAGTCGCCTCACCTTCTGCGGAACTCAGTTTCCCGAGTTGAGGCGGGGTCGCACATCCTCCTTGCCCTGATCCTGGCACGGGGAGGTCTTGTGTTTGGTGCTGTTGCACCAATAGCAGCTGCCGTAACGGCCGCGGACCTTGTACTCCGCCTCGGTCAAGCCGAACTTGACCCATGGAATTTGTACTGGCTGTGCATTTCCGGCCTGCGATGCGGATTTCGCCTTCCCATTATTGCGGGACTTGTTGTTGCTTCGCGGCTGGACAGCAGCCACCTGATCTCCGTCACTTGATGCTGGAGTGGCTGCTAGGTTATCTCCACTGTCCGACTGGACTGCAGCGAAGTGCTGCTGTCGCGGACCAGTTCGTACCTTCTCCACATAGGTCGGCTGCCATGTTGACTTCTCGTGTGCAGCTGACCTGTTGATCTTGATGATTTCCCTCGCCTTGTCAATGATCTCAGCGAAGGTTGAGTACTGCTCGCGATCACCAAGAGTCTGGCTCAATGCAGCACATAACCTGTTGTAGAACTCACGGCGTAAATGCATGAATGGCAAGTCCAGATTGGGCACTGTCGCAATCTTCTGCCACTCCGTGAGCCAATCCCGTGTTGCGGTGTTGCCCTGTGACATGGTGAACAGACGGTTGATGGCGAGTGCTGGCGCGTCGTCGACGATGAACCGCTTCTTCCACAGCCGTGTCCGTTCCTCCCATGTGATTTTGTCCTTCAAGTCCGGTACGTCGACGCCGTGGGAGGTTGCCAAGTGGGTCAACCAGGTCTGGCATCCGCCCTTTGAGTTCATGAACAGGGCGCCGATGTACGCGTGCTTGGCGACGGGCAGAATCCTTAGTTGCGTTGTGAATGCTTCCCACCAGAGGACCGGATCCTGCTGCGTGTAGTCGTCGAACCTGTCCAGTTGGAAAGTTGGCATTTTGTACAACTTCGGATTGCCATCTGCGTTCGTCGACTGCAGCTGCCGGAACTCGGTCTTCAAGGTATGCAGTTGACTGCTGATGGTGGTCGGCGCAGCGAAGGTGCTGATGTCGCCGAGCATTGCCACTACGTGGTCAACGCGTTCCTCCAGCTGGGGGCTAGAGGATGCACTGCTTGAAGCCCCAGCAGTTGGTCTTGGTACAGCCTGTTCCAGGTCCAGCATTCGGGCATTGAGTGCCCGAGTTGCATCCTCGTGGCTCTGCACCGTGCGGCGGAGCTTCGCCAACTCCTGATGCTGTTGCGTCAGGTCCTGGTACTGTTTCTCCAACTCGGACTGTTGGTAGTTGCAAGTGTACAACAACCGTGTCACGAGTTTGGAGAGAAACTCCTTATGCTGCTCTTCCGGTGTCGCGTCGTCGCCGTTGGGTTCAAAGTGCCAGAATTTGAGTCTGTCAACGCTGGCTGCCTCATGCCGCTGCAGCAGATCCTGGGCTTCCTTGCGGCGAGCCTGGGCCTCTGCGTCTGCTTCGGCCTGTAGCCGGAGCTTCTCCGCTGCTGCCGCTTCGTCAGCCTGTAGCTGGGCAGCCTTGGCTGCCAGCTGGCGTTGTTCCTCAGCCTCGATTACAGCGAGCTGAGCCTGGAAGCGCTTTTTGTAGTCGGCAACGGGCTCATTGGCCAGTTGGCCTGGCAGGCCCGTCATGTTGCTGACGTTGCTTACGTGGCACTGCTGATGTGGCACTGTGTCTGACGTGTCACTGCTGACGTGGCACTACTTACGTGGCACTGTCTGACGTGGCACTGCTTACGTGGCACTGTGTATGACGTGGCACTGCTAACGTGGCACTATGTCTGACGTGGCACTGCTGACGTGTCACTGTAGCTGACGTGTCACTGTGTCTGACGTGGCACTGTACCAACCCGGAAATGCATGCAAAGGGGTGGGTGGGAGGGAAAACGCAGGTAGGCAAACAACCCAACAATACTTTCCTCCGGCCCTAATCAACAGATAAAATAAAATAAAAATAAAAATAAAAGAGGACTACTTGCTTTTTTTTTCTTTTTTTTTGTATATCTGTCGATCTATTATGAGTAGGACATGTCAGAAGAGTACTATGAACGAGATCTAGGCTAGGTT